GACTACTATAAGCAATTCAAGGTAGGCAAGTAAGTTTAGTTAGAATCTACTACTTTTATTTATGTTCCAGGTAAAATAATATGTTCTCCTGTATTCCCTTAGGACATTCTTATTGAAAATACATGTCCTCATATGACATTAATGGTTGCTAATTGGAAACCTGTTTAGTGTAATTCTGTCTTGGAAGCAATCTTTACTTAAAATGGAGCTTTAAAGTCTGAATATGAAAACAAATTCTTCTAGGAGCCCAGCAATGTTATGCTAAATAAACTAAATAAAGTTGAAATTGATGGAGAAAGTGTTGATGTCTACATAGTCAAAGCTAACAAGAGTAACCAAAAATACTTAAATTATGAAGGTGAAACCAAATATATATACTGATTATATATATCTATCTATCTGCCAATAATTTAAATTTGTTTTCTAAATTTAATTTATTTTAAAATTAAAATATTATCAATGTAATTTTTGTGTTTACATTTTCTTATTAATTACAACAAAATTCCATATATTTAATTAGCTTAAATAAGCTAAGCTAAATAGAAATAACAAAGTTCAAAAAGTAATAAAATTTGATTGAATTAAAATTTATAATAGATATATTCCAATTAATACATAAATTAAATAATTTGAGTTAGGTCTAGGGCATTTCAAAATAAAATTTAGCATTTATGTCGTATCCATAATAAAAATTTATTTAAGAATAAATTCATTTATTTGTTGCATGAAAGCTCTTTACCTAGATAATATGTGATTTAAATAAAAACTAATATGGTTAGATAATAATTAGAGATATTATAAAAATTCCTCTCATTACTAATTACAACTAAAATAGAAAAATCTAAAAAATAAAAATTAAAAACATTAATTAGAATTTTTTCAACATATGTATAACTACTACTCGTCTCTAGTTTTTTCATATTTTTAAGTACAAATTTTGAATAGAAATATTAAGGTTTAATAACAAATTTTACACTAACTTTTATGTGATTTCTCAAACTAAACCAAAATCTATATATTCATATAATTTATTTATTTTTTATATCCACTTATAATTAATTAAAATAAATTAATTGCTATTCAGTATTTTTTTAAAAAAATAAATGATATTATAGACTAAATAATACAACATATTAGAAGAAGTAATTTTTATTTTTTTTATCAATATAATTTAAATTTATTTTTATTAATATAAAAAGTTTTTAAATTCTTCACTCTAATCTCATGAGACTCTCCATATTTATTAGGAGTATATTGATTTATAAATATTATTATTACTAACTTCAATATATTTAATTTTTAATTTATTATGATATAATTTTTCTAATAGAAATTCTCAACTATTTTGATTCTTAATTTTTTTTATTCAAATATTATTTCAGTTATTTTAACTTTAACTTTCAATTTTTAATATTCTTTAACCAATTTTTATTATTTAATATTTTTTATTCATTTTTTCCATCTAACGCATTTTCTTGATATAGACAGTTTATTTGTTTTGGAGTGCGATACTTTTAATGATTTAAAACAATATATTATTTTATTTTATTTTGTTAATTAGCTTTTTATTTTATTTTTTATTCTACTTGCATTCTTTTTATCCTTCTTAATTTAACTCTATTTTTATTTTCACATTTTTCTCTTACTTTATTCGTTTTTTATTATTTCATATTTTTTCATCATTTTTTCCTTCTAAATAACTAAGTACTTATTTATAATTTCAATATTTAAAAAGTTGGAATTAAATTGGTAATGAAGGTACATCAGACTTAAGTTCTGCTTTATCAAATTGCACTAATCTCTCAAATTTA